CCTGGGAATCTGAATCTGATCCTGATGCAGACCCCTCATGAGTGAAGGCTGCCTTTCCCTTTCTGCCACCTCTAGGGAAGTCAACTTTCCTCCTCTCAGAGGATGGGGCCTGGACATGAAGCTTTGCCTCCATGTCCAGGGTTGCGCGGCCAAAGGACGTCCAGTCCTTGTGCCCAGCGCTGTACAAGGCAACAACAAACTTCTCAGGCGCTGCCCTGCAGAAGTTGGTCAACATATCATCAATGGACATGACCAACCCCGGGGTGGAGGTAAGCTGCTCAAATTCTGCAAACAAGGCCTGCAGGGTGCCGCTGTATCGCTGCTGCCCCAGGCGAGCAATCCTGTCAGCAGCCTTGCGGGCCCGCTCCTTGTCTGCAAAACGGTCCTCCAGGGCCTGCAGAAGTCTGTCCACCCCAAGCCCAAAAGCCTAGTCCTCCATTGACTTTCGCAGACTGCTGGAGGTAGAGGTAGCCCACTTCAGAGCGGGTCCCTCGAGCAGCTCCAGAATCGTAGCCACCTTGGTCTGTTCTGGGCAGATAAAGCCCCTCAAGTAGGCTTTAGTTCCAGCAGCCCAGTCCCCAACATCAGTCTTGGGGTCATCCCCCGTGAACTTGTTGGGTGCAGGGATCTTGGGACCTCTTTGATCTCCCGCAGTAACAGCAGCATAGATGGCCTTTCCTGAGGCTTTTTGGGAATGAGATGGTGACCGGGGGGAATGCACTGAACCAGGGGGAGTGGAAGGACGGGAAGAGGGAGGAGAAGGTTTGGGTTTGAGCCGATGGAGCTGAGGGGCAATCAGCTTGGCAGCAGACAACTGAGCAGTCAAGTTCTGAATCGCATCCAGAATCTTAAGACTGCTGAGCGGCCAGGCTGTCAACCCGACGCTCCAAACGATCAAAGCGATCATCCCAGTTCGTGAAGTGTGAACTGGTGATCTTGTGCTCCAGAATGATCATCTCTGCCAGGTGCTTAGTCACCTGTGCACAACGCTCATCTGAGAGCACCTTGTCTAGCTGCTGCAACAGATATTCCCTTCTAGAATAATTTGTTGCAGCCTCTAGCTCAGCTGCCTCCTAACGTTCCAACTCTACAAGGCGGTCCTGTTGCCGCCACAGCTGCTCTTGCAACTCCTTCTTTTCTTGCTGAGTAGCAGTCAGAGGTGGAGAAGGAGGAGTGGAAGTTGAAGGTTGTTGACCTTCCACCTTCATCACAACTTCCACCTGTGGCTGCTGCTGAGCCCCATGGTACGACATTTTCCCTTTTTCAAAATAAAATCAAAATAAAAAACAGCAGCCTGAGTATGCAGCGATACTCAGATTCCTTTAGACACCCTGGAATCGCTGCAAAACTCAGACACTGGAATAGGTGGGTGAATGGGCAATCAACGGTTTGGGTTCGAAGGGTGTCTTTGGGGTCAGGTGTCAGGCAGACTGTACGTCCAGCAAAATCATGCACATGATTTCCTTTTACTAACCCTGCACCACACTGGAGTTAGTAGAGTCACTCCACTACTCTTCCAGAGACACACTAGATTTCCAGAGCCCACTAGAAAACAAGAGTAATCAGTGAGAATGATAGAAGATGGTTAGTACTGACAAGAGAGATAAACCACAACAAGCGATTCAGACAGATACCCTGTATCCTGACTCAGACTCTAACTTAGACCCTAATGACTCTGGCGGCCATACCCTAGGGTATGGCGAAGTACAGTATTCACTGTATCCAGTGAAATACTGTAAATCCAATCATGCGATTCTGCAGTATTGACTATTTTCAAATTGCGATTCACTGGGGACTGTCAGAATGGAATTCTGACGGACAGAATTGAAGTTATGACTGACCCTAATTAGCACAGGCTATAAATAGACTCAGCGCAAAACTGCAATTCACAGTATCACTACCTTTCCAGTGCAGAATTCACAGTTTGAGCATCCCAGATCAATCGCAATGCAGTACAGCAGTCGCAGAACAATTTTCGATCAGAAAGAGACAAGAGGGTGAGAAATGAGCCGAGAGAGGTAAGGGGGAGATGGCTATCGTTGTCATGCAGTCCGCGATTTTCACATCCAGTCACTGACAGACAGATAGACCATTACAAGTGACTAATCTAATCCTATCTGGATCGCTATGCAGGTAGGTGCATGGAACAGACTCACTTTCAGAGAATCTTGCAGGTGTTGATGAAGATCTGGCTATGGCAGATGATGACCCTTATCTCGCCAATATCTTCCAGATATTCCTCCTAACAATCCCACGCACAGAACTGCTTCCAACTCGTTGATCCTCAGTATCCTGTAGCGCTGCACTCCCTCAACCCAGATGCACTGTATCTGGTCCTGTGGCGCCCAGATAGCCAACACCAAAATATCTCGCCACAATGCCTGGTAGCCGCTGATGCTAAAAAAAGCCCCAGAAGGCGTTATTTCTTCTAGAGATTGATATACTGTGTCAATCCCTGCCAGCACTACCCAGGGATGATGCCGCTCAGGGTTCCCTGATGTCTTCAGGGGTAATTCGCCACTCCGGGGTACTTCGCAACACTACCCTCAAGGTTGGCTATGGCGAATTAGCCCTGAACTCGCCACTTCCTGACAAGCGCCCTGACAGGCTCAGTGCGCTTGCTCAGTGCAACCACTGCACACTTGAATCCACCGCTGAAAGTCTTCTTCCCTACTGACTCAGTACTAGGGAAGATGAATCGCCATGAAGCTCTCGCCAGTAGATCGCCATATGAAGAAGATGCCTCAATGCGCTCAACCCTCAGTGTTCCGATTCCAAACCCAACTCCGATATCAACTGTTATGATCTTGGTTGTCTGACGATTTTTACCGCCACTCACACACAGACAATCTCATACACGCCCATACATGCATAAGAGAAGGGGGAGAGGAG